TTGCATTTTTGCTGTAAAATCTCATTGGATTCAGACTAAAAAGTTTTGTGGTGGTCCAGAGCAGGAGGTCTTGCTTTTCTCACTTTATTAATTTGCACATAAGTTATTGCATATGTGCAAATTAACAAAATTGCTCTGCTGATTTCATGATAAAAACCAAAGCCAAACGTAAAAGCGTATCCGATACCATAGTAAGATGTTTTACACATGAAACTCATAAACTCATACACTCTTGGAATCTTGACATATGTCTTTATTTCTTCCAAAGCAGAAAGAAAAAAAGAGTTTCGAAGAACTTGATTAATGCACTGGTCAAAAAAAAATCAAGAGAGAAAATACCAGGGAAAAACATCTGCGTATTAGATCTGTTTATTAATGAATGAGAGATATTCACACTGTCATCCATCAAGATGTGTTCAGGAAATACTTAGCGTTATAGCCTCCTTTTTTTTTTGTTTGAATGCTGCGTTCAGCCCCCTCCACCAAAGATTGCTCTCAATATTTTGATATTGTGTTTTCACAGGTGCACTAAGTATTCTCCAGCGTCCTCAAACAGGTTAGCCAAAACGGGTTTGACTGCGTGTGGTTGGACTTTACACATGTTTCCAGTAAAATATCATTATTATTGATGAGACAGGGACTCCTGGACGTCAGGCCGAAGGCATGGAATTCTTGGAATACTCAGTGAAGGCCTACAAAGAGAGCGTACAGTACTCTCTCATTCCATACTTTCTGATTTTAATTACCCATGTCAACTTGCATTTTGTTACTTACGGTGGTCTCCCTTGTAAATACTGCTCATTGTCTTGATATTTGTCAACTGTTATAACTTCTCACTGTAACAAGTTACAGAACATGGTATACTCTAGACTGGTCAATAAGATAAGGCTTTCTGATATTAGACTAGATTGAATCTCTGACCTTGTTGGCTGCTTGAAAAAGTGTCTCGCATGCTCTATCGCCTAGACTTTAGTGTGAGGAGACACAGGTACCAAGCAGGAATCAGATGAGCAGCTGTGGAGGATTATCCTCTGTGTTCTCTCTCCCCAAGCTAATCATGCAAACACGTCTGCTTTTCAGAAGGAGATTCAGAAGACACAAGCCTTTTTCACTGTTTCCTTTTTCAGTTAAATTCAGCTTTGCTTTTGGCCTGGACTGATGGCCTTGTGATATTGCAATGGATTTGGCAGCTAACTAGCACTTACATTTTTTTTACACATTTTTAGAAGCTAGCATAATAAGTAAAGTGGCATACCACAGTTTTCCTGCTTTTGCCAAGTCTTCTTCATAGTGCACATAGTGCATTTGCTGTTGTACATTTTCCCTTGCAGCAAAAAAGGCTCAGTACTAGTGATTTTTATACAGTTAGTTCAGACGGCACAATTTGTTTCTGGTTTCTGGTTGTGATTAAATAACTGCATCATTCCGCTGAGCGCTGTAGCTAACCACTACCAAGTTTATACTTTAGCACCTACAAAAAAAGAGAATGGATACATTAGAGAACTTCCATAAAATGACTATTTGACCTGCACCCCATTTAGTCAGATTCTAAAGAGAAGTGTGACAGCAGTACTAGGCCTACATCAACGTGTCATTGCCTTTAAGCAAATTTTTGATCAACAACTGTGAGGGCTAAACAACTGGAGTCAGACAGAAACTAACAAAACACTAATATAATTTGACAAACACGACGGGCTGTAAAATTCTTTACAGACTAGCTAGAACAAAAAGATATTCAAGCTATTTGGGCAAGTAGGTTTATGGCTCTGTCCCTACAGCAATAAAGAATTGCTCATATTAAAGGTCATTTGATGCAATTTTTGCATCCTTTGCTTTACTTTTTCTTTATTTGGCAGAACTGTTGTATAAAAGCAACTGTGTGTCATTGAGAATAACATCCTGGCTGTGATGATCTACGGTACTCGCCTTTGGCTTGTGCCTGGAACTAAATCAGCCATTCATGTTATTCGTGATAACATACTCACATTCTGTTGTTTAACTCTTATGTGGTGTTCGGGTCTGTGGGACCCATTTTCAATGTTTACCAAAAGAAAAAATGATGTGATTTATTATTACATTATTATCTCTGAAGAGCATATAAATAACACATTTTCAATGACTTCACACTGTTCACCCCCTACACATTTATATTACACATGTGGTGTTGGGGTGAACCCACAGGGAGTAAAAGTGTGAAGGTGCTGTGTCCCTTCACTCTGTTCTCCTCCTACATGGCCTGCTGTTAGTGTGTGTGTGTGTGTGTGTGTCTGTGTGTGTATGTGTTTGAATATATGTGTGTGTGTATGTTTGTGTGGGTATGTGTTTGTATAAATGTGTGTGTATGTGTGTGTGTGTGTGTGTGTGTGTGTGTCTGAGGGTGGACAACATGGACAGGCTGCTGACTGGCTACAGCTGCTAAAGGAGAACCCTATGCCTGCCACTTGTGATATTTTAAACAACTGGTATTTTTACATAAATTGTTATGACTGTATTGATTTAAAAGACTAAAATAAGACTAACTACCACTGAGTTACACCACACAAGGGTTAAGTATATTCCTGATATACCTGTATGATGCTGGGTTATCCAAGAATTATATTTAAAATTATATTAGTTCTCCAACTGTAGGCCTACAAAAAAGTTACAACCCTGGAGTTCTACCACCTTAACTTAATTCCAGCCCTGATTAAACACAGCTGGTGCAAATCCTCAGATGGTCCTGACGTTATGCACCTTCAGGCTTAGTGACACATGTAGAAGGTAAAAGATGCCTCATGGCAGAGGAGTCATCTTGGGTCTAGAGCAGTGGTTGCCAACCCTGGTCCTGGAGGTCTACCTTCCTGCAGAGTGCAGTTCCTACCAAAAACTAACAATTAACTTCTTCAGAAGCCTCAGAATGAGATGCATTAGTGTTAGGTAAGGGATGGGGCAACATGTTAGATGCAGGTTGGAGCTTAAATCTGCAGTAAAGTAGATCTTCAGGAACAGGGTTAGTGACCACTGGTCTAGAGTGTGCAGTCATGTGACAAAGCTCTTTAAAATTTCCTTACAGCAACAGTTTCGCCAAAACACAAATTAAAAATTTCTCCTAATTATACACGCAGTCCATCAGCCAAAACATATTTGGTGTCTAAAGTTTGCAATTTAGCAATTTGCTAATCACGTACATAAATCTTCACACTGTTGCCTAAAAATGTTTCAAGTGATCTCAAAAAGATTGTCTTGTGTGATTTCTGGCACTGTGTGACATACTGTTATCTTTGAAAATGGGCGAAAGTATTGCACTGAAGCAGAAGCAGTAGAACTAGATATCCTGAAGTCTGCTTTTTGTCCATGCTTTTGTCTGTTTTTATTGATAACAATATGTCATACAGTATAAAATAACCACATTAAGTATATTAGAGATTGCTCAACACCTCAACGTGGTTTGAGGCAAGTGTGTGATGATTTAGGCCTGATATCTGCACAGTGCTTATTGGTAGGTTAAGCTTCCATTACTTCCATTACATTAGCCTTGTAGCTTCAGTGCAAAACTAAAGAAGGAAACTTCAGACACCAAACATTTCTTGGCTGACTGACATTTGGGGTAAGAGGGAAGTTGTGTAAATTTGATTTTTGGCCAAGCCATCACTTTAATCATGAGAACTGCCGTTGATTGTGTTGGGACACATTATTCCACATATTTTGGAAATAGGGAGCTGCTGAGACAGGAAGTTGATGAGAAGGTATTACACTATAGGCTGTATAAAGCAGAATAAGGGGAAACCTGAGTGTCTGTTTGTGATGTTCAGTGTTCTGTTTAAACTGACAGCTTCAGTAATGCTACATACTGTAAACCTAAACTTGGAGTTTACTTTACAAAAGTGTGACGGCTTACTTTTTTTTAGGTAAATTAGCTAATTAATTTGAAGTTAAGTCTACAAATTGATTTTAAGTAAACTATTAATTCTTAATTCTTAATTAAGCAGTATATCAGTTCAAAAGTTCAAGATCAAAAGTGAATAAGTTACATTTATGTGCTGAAAACCTAAAACATTCGAGTAAAGTTTATTCAAAAATAAGTAAAATCGCTTAAAACTTTGTAAAGTATACCATTAATATTTAACAGTGTTGTAGTCCATTATCAAAAACAGCAGATTTCAAAATGAAAATCATAGGAGCTGTTTTCCGTTTCATGATCATGAGTATACTTGACAATGTCTGATAGTCATTAAATGTATTAGCCTGCAGTGTTTTCTAAATAGAAAGCTGTTTATATTGGACATTTTTCCCCATGCATTCTAGTTCTCACTTGTTTTCCACAGTTTCCACAGAGCTCAGTCTTTATATTGAATGATCATTTAGTATAATGTTTTATTTTTTTTACCTTGTCATGAACAAAAACAAACATGGCAGCTGTTGAGACAGGTGCTCACCATCTCCAAGACCAAAAGAGACACTGTTTCTGAATCATCCTGTAATCTATTTAGTGTGTATTATATTTGTATCTTAACATTATTATGTTTGGATGTTTGAAGTAGAGTGGGGTAACAGCAAGTGAATCTTGGATAATTCAAGTAATGCTAATCGGTATTCGGTAAGCTAATAGCTAAGTTAGCGTAGCTTTTGTTTGTGTCAGGTGTTGTAAGGGTAAAGCTGGTCCACTATCTCCAGGTGGGTTACTTACTATCATAATAAAGTCAGAATTATGAGATATTAAGTTACAATTATGAGAAAGTAAATTATAGTTATGCTAAATCATAATTTTGAGAAAGTAATTAACTCATTACTATGAGATACTAGTCATAATTATGAGATTGAATCTCATTTTTTATGAGATACTAAATCATAAATATGAGAAAGTAAGTCATAATTATGAGATACTAAATGGCTGTGTATTTTTTCCAGTGGCGGAAACGGGCCTCCATACGGGACGGTGTAAAAATGAACATTAATAAAAGTGAAAGAACGTCATCTGCTGCCTCCGAACAGCGGGTGGCAGTAACGAGTGTAAACCTTGTAGTGACAGTGCAAAGAGGCAGAAGAAGCAGAGGCATGATTCGTGTTTTCAGTCATCATTTTCCCGATGAGGAGGCGGCTGATCGCTCTTCTCAAAACACGGTTTAGAAACGTTTTCGCCACCCAAAAAGACGCAGACGTCTTTCTCGGTAAGGAGTGTCATTATGAATGATAACCTAGCGAGCTAACGCAGCAGCTAAGGCTAGCTTTACGTGTGTAATCTTCTTATCTAAGTGTAAATTCACTGTCCGTCAGTCTCCTTTCTGACTTCTGTCAGTTAGTGAAACATCACCTGGCAGACCTGACCATAACAAACATTAACACAGTGGTGGACTGTTCATTTTGTGTAAAGTTTGATGCCGTTACTACTTACAAACAGTATTTTAAGTGGCATAAAAGTTCATGTAAGTTACATTTATTACCTTATTGCGGTTGCTGTTTCTTGTCCTGAATCAGTGTGCTGTTAATAACCTGACTATTTTCTTTAAATGAATGAAGGAGCATAAGAGCACCTCTGCTGCTCATGGCAGCCCACCTCTCTGTAATTCAGTATGTTTTAGACTCAGTATTCATGGCTGTTTTCAGCCCACACTTAAATTCTGTTGTTCTTCATTTTTCATTAATGGAGGATTTTGACTTCTCACAGTTCTAAATAAATCAAGCTGAACGAACTGAAGAGAAATGTAAGCTAGTGCAGGGATTGCCATTTCCTTAATGCTTTCTTTTTGGTCTTATGGAAAACTTGAAATTAGGAGGGTCGTGAAATACAAATGATTTGTTTAAAAAAGTCATTTCCAACTTTGCAGAAGTCATTCACACTTGTCCCAGATGCTGTATAGTGTGTGTTATGTTTAACAGATTGCTCCTCTGTCAGTAATTTGGTACAGAAATTGTTCCACAGAAACACTGTGGAAATTTTGTGTATCATTCATATCAAGTTATTTTGTATATTTTGTTTTAAAGAAAACTTCTTCCTTTAATGGACATAGGCTAGTTTTTATAGGTAATATCACATCACAGGAATGTTTATGTAGTGTAACTGAGATACACGTCATATGAATGAGTGGCCTGAAGAATGGTAGAATTCTTTGGTCATGATCACTCTTGCATGGTAGGCACAAGGCATAGCTCTTTCTGAGAAGAACATGGAAAATGGCTGATGGCCGATTTTTCAGGACAGTTTTTGTTAGCTATTTTTCAAACTTAAAGCTCACACAGTGTGGGCTAAGTGGACACATGAAACACATATTCCCAGTACTTTCTGTTAACCAAAGTCACAATATAAATAACATAATTTGTGTCTTAATAGGCCAGACTGGGATTTGTTCATGATAAATCAGTTGCTGTAAATAAAAAGAATAAAAAGTAGTGATAAATTGAAAGTAAGAGGTGGCTGCATTATTTTTGACCAATTTTTTTGACTTTTGTTGGATTGTATGAATATCTTTATACATCTAAGTAAAGTCCTCTGACCAGGATGCTCACAGCATCATAAAACACATTGACATTGATTAGAAAGTTTGTTTGCATATTGCCTGTTATCTTGTGTGACATCATGTTGCAAAGACCAATATTGAGATACCGATTGATAAACCAAAAAATAGGGCATAGGGCATACTTGTTTTGTGTTATAACAGCAAATGTTTTGTTTTGCAGGAAGTAGTGAGCTTCCACTGCTTCCACTCTTTTGCTCATTACACACATGGTTACAGATGGTCTGTTGTGTCTATTATTTTTTACATTTAAAATTTTCCCCAAAGATTACCTTGTGTATGTGAAGTGGCAGCTCTGTGTTTTTCATGAGCTCAGTCTGCATCTGGAAATTACATGCAGTTGGTGTTGCCTACATGTGGAAAAATTAACAGCCATAAAACATAAGCGTACCTCAGTTTCCATTTGTTTATGTATGTTTTGTTCCAGCACCTGGCCGTACTGATCCAGCTGAGGCGATGTGCAGTCCTAAGTCTGAAAGCTGTAGAGAGGATGCTTCTGTGGAGCATATCTACTGTAGAGGTGTGCTAACTGAGCTGCTTAAATATGGGCCCAGGGACCTGCATGCTGCTGCCAAAACCTCTAATCCACCCAGAGTGCTCATTCTCATCATTCCAGGTAAGCAAAACCAATATCGTTCGTACATTGTAAGTAGAACGACACAAATTCTATGTTAATGTTTAATGTTTCTAATTTATTTGGGTAATATTTTTTTATCAATATCTTTATGTTAGCTCAATATATTGCTTGTTAATTGGTATCACAATACTGGCAAAAGGCCGCAACATGCAGATGAGCCTCTACTAATCAGAAAGTGCTCCATTTCATGCAGATGTAACTGTACTTTAGTGGTATGACACCGGTACATTGCTAATTTTGGTGGACAAAGGCACATTTTTTCCCTGTTTTTGCACAGTTGGTGTTTTGGTGGCCAAGAGTGACAGTGCCTGCACTAGCAGTGGGAGAGTGGCAATAGGGGGAGGGAGTGTGGACATACACCTCACATACATATAGTAGGCGACTTCAATGTTGTAATTAATTAGATCAGCTAATGAATTAGCTAAAGTATGAGAACTCTGACCTTTAATGGAAGTGGTTGGCTGATAAAGCTGACCTGGTCGTTGGTATAGCGTAGTGGGTAATACTGTTGTCCTTTATGTGGCAGACTGGGGTTCAGTTCTTGGGCAAGACTCCTAACTCTACAAAAAACCATTTCAAGCCTCCAACAGTGATCTGCTGAACCTTTCCCTCTTTCACAGTATGTGGGAGTAAAATAAACATGTACACTCTTTCAGGCAACTTCACTAGAGCTCCGCTTGTTTTAAACTGCTTAGTTAGTGATGGATAAGAGCATTTTAAGGCATGTAACATTTTTAATAGCCATTACCTGATTTATGATATTTCATTTTTGTGTTTTCTAATCTACCCCATTTTGATGAATGCATTTGGCCTCTGTGTCACCTCATATTTATACTCCAGTGTAACAGGAAGTCGTGGATGATCACTTATGAGTTCCTGAACACTCAGGTGGACACTTCTCTTATATTTTCAGTGCAAAATTAAGCTAATCAATCACAAAGACCTTTTTCAACATTTTTCTGTTTTTCAACCATCTTTCCCTAGGGTGCTAATAATTATGGAACTAGCTGCACATATTTTGACAAAACCTGAATTGATGTTTTGCCAGTGTTCTTGTGCAACCCACAGCAATTGCTAAGAAAGAAAGCATTTGTGGGTGGAGCATAGATAATTGAGTTTATGCCATTTCGAAAGACTAAGGCTGAATTGGTTTATTTGCCCTCTGTAATGACTTGTTTAGTCTGTCCAGGGCAGTGAGTGAAAGGTCAAGTAATGGATGCAAAAAAAAAAAAAGGAACAGCATCAGCTTTAACAAAGCAGACATAGAGTTAAACCAGTTGCACCAGTTAAAAATATCAGCACAAGTCTTTTCTTACAGGAAACAATCACAGCTATTCATGTCACGTTCCATTTTCTGGTTACCATCTAAATCTTTAAGAATGACTTTATGAACTTTGAGCTTTTGTTTCTTCCTTTTTGTACATTTTTGCTCAACTTTAAAGCATATGACCTCACCGCCATCATTAAGATGAAGTACCAAATAAACCTGTCTCAGAGCATGTTCAATTTTTGTTGCCAAGATATAAACAAACAAAACTCATGGAGCAGACCAGAGCTGCACAGGAGTCATGGGTTGGTCCACAGGTGGACGAATGAGTCAGACATTACGCACCTCAGCATATGGGGGGCATATGAATAGGAGCAGAGCCGTAAGACACGGATCTACCTTCTTAAATTTGGCGTCAGTTCACGAGGAAAGCCCCAGTGGAAAATGGCGGGAAGTGCTACCACTTTCCCCCTAACAGAGGCTTCAAGCAGAGTGACATTATGGAAAAGCTGTGTGGGTCAGGAGCATTTTAAAACGCTAAAAATACTGCCGTGCTTTATACATGAGCTTTGAGAGGTCCAACAGTATATTTTGTATATCATCACTCGTTCACAGGATTAGAAAAATCTTAATCTTTTTTTTTCCTCCATTGAATGACGCTTATTTTACCAAGCAACTTCTACAGACACTGTACTGAGGACGTTTATGTCCTTCTTCCTTCTATTTAATTTTTTTCCAGTGTGTGCCATTCAGGATGTCACATGTAGCAATTCAAAAACAAAGGTCCATGCGTTTGACGCATATGATTACTCCATCAGTTAGCCAAATTAGCAGCTGATATTTTTTGTTACATCTCATCTTTCTCACTGTATAAAATCATCTGTGATGTGTTATTTATATTAAATGTTTATTTTGTAGCAGTAAAATTGCTGTTGTTGTAGGATTTGTATTGTCATTGTTTAAAATGACAGTATCAGAAAGCACTTTTAATAGAATTTTTCCGTTTTTGCAGTTCACTGTAATTTTTTTTCCGTATTTCCGAGTATGCATGCTGGGTATTTTACCTGTAACTCCACTGCTCACAGCTGCAGGAGAGAGTTTACCAGTCAAATATGATTAGAGGAGAAAACTGCTCCTTCATCATGAGAGAGTACCTCGCTACGTTTTAACCAGTGATGATAAATCCAAATGTATTGCTAGTAAGATATGATAATGTTAGGTACAGTATTAACTTGGACATGTGGCTACAGCATTGAACATTACCTGAAGTTAGAATAATTAGTAGCTGTTAAATTAGCGAACAAGCCAGCATAGGATTAGTTTTTTAGATTCTTTTCCTGTGATTTTTTACAACGTTAACCACCTTAATCACTGTCACCATACGGTACAGTTTCCCAGAAATGTTAGTGCTTTGCCCACAAACTAGGTATGAAAGGAGTTAAAGCGTATGAAAGCCAGCTAGCTAGGTTAGCTAATGTTAATTAACAGTGGCTAGTTAGCCTCACTGATAAACACTAAACATTTCCTGAGAAGAATACTTTATGAAACATGGTAGATATATTGGGGCAAATGCTAATGAAATAAGAAAATAAAGAAACATTTAATTGTAATGAATCTGTTTTATCTTTCATTTGTAATGAATGAGATTTAACTCAGGTACTCTGTTTTTAATGTATCACTGAGGACAGGGTTACCTAGAATTCTTTGTTCTGTTAATTGCTTCTTATTTTCTTATTTTTCATCAGTTCTCTTCATAGTAATTTTTTTGTGTTACAACGTTATCTCTCCATGCTAAAGTGAAGGACAGAATGTATGTAATATGTTTTTGTTTTGTTCACCACGATGGTGTTTTGTGTTCAAGTTTACCAGTATAGCTTGTCTTGCTGTGATAAAAATAAACAGGTGGTGATTTTAAGCTTAGCAGTTGCTAAGTGGGCTTTTAGTAGGCAAACTTAGAAGGTTTTGTTCTTTATTTTTTGCTAAGTGGGCTTTTAGTAGGCAATCTTAGGTTTTGTTCTTTATTTTTGCGATCAAATGTCTTTATTTTAAAGATAAAGCTCCAGTGTAATATCAAATACAGTAGGCAACAAAAAACATAGCAACAAAATAGAGTACCAAACCCCTCCAACATTCCCCACCCACATGGTACCCATAAACCCACCACTGATCAAGGGAAAAAAATAATTGTAAATAAATAAATAAATGAATTGTCCATTTGACATATCAAGTAATACAAACAAACCAGTACAATATGACGAATATAATACCAGCCATAATAATACAATAATGCTAATAATAAAGTAGAGCTGGGCGATATGGCCAAAAATGTTATCACGATAAACAAAATTCATATCGTTCAATATCGATACATGTAGCGATAAATGTCAAATCATTATTTCTTTCAAGTTTGAAGGCTGAATTTTGCTCCTGGGTGGTTAATTGCTGTTTTAAACTATCCTTTATGGTCAGAACACGACGAACACTCACCAAACAGTGGAACATTTCACAAATCTGTCATGGGAGAGTGGGAGAAAGTGTCTGGTGAGCTGTTTTTACCAGCTGGAAAAGCATGGCTATTTTGTAATAGTCATAATTTAAGAAAGAAAACAGATTATTTTTAGCTGGTGGCGAGCGCTCGGCTACCCCGCTACAAATGACATCACAGTATTCAGACACCAGCTAGCGACGACTGGATTTCTCATATCTATCGTAGTAGTTTGAGGGGTGAACCGCAAAATATCTAACACCAGACAAACGGAGTCCTCCTGTTAGGTATGTTTAAACTGAAAGCGGTGCTTTTGTGTCTTGTTTGATCTACAGTTTTATCAATTCTCTGTGCTGTGTGGGTGACAGTTGAAGAAAATGTATATGAATTTGACTGTACAATTACAGAATATTCTGTATATGTAGTGAAGAGACAATCTTGTATAACCTGTATACCTACACAGAATATGTGCTATAATTTATCAGAACTCTCCGTTAACTGAGTGACAGAATTGTTGTTCATTTTACAGAAAATGTACCAGTGATTCCCCAGTGCATTTTCTGTTTGTTCTCTCTTTTCAGTAGCCAGTCTATAGGTGAAAGACTGGCTACTGAAGAGAGAGAGAGAAGTGGTTAGTTTTACAGTCTATTCAAGGAGTGTTGCAGTGTAAACGCATCTGTCAACCAAAACTATTCCCAGTACAAACGAAACTCCTTTCCATGCGTACATCATTGGGCACGTGATCTGCATCTGCGAGGAAGATAATCATGGAGGATGCACATGGCTGGGGACCAGATGAAATAAAATCCTAAACAGCAATATGGACAGATAGTACTGTGCAAAGCAAACTGGAGACGATGAACAGATCAACAGTTGGTAATTCATTGCCATGTAATGAGGGGATTTGCATATTCCGTCCCACATAGCAACCGGATTACAGTCCGACTAATCAGAGACGTATTTGACTACCAAGTGTAACAATCCGTACTAGTCACATGAAGTAACCAGTTGTAAATTAGTTTTGTAAATGAGTCTTGTGGAAATGTGAAGTAATTTTTGAAAATTGTTGTTTTGCTTGTCATTGTAAGCACAGCATGCAGGATCATGATTGTGATGTTCTACGTACATCATGTAGTCCAGTCTCAGTTTACGTTATAACTTCAGTTATAAGTTGTGGGCATTTTGCCTCTTTAGAATGAGTCAAATCAGTTGGCTCACAGCTCACAA